TGTGAAAAACTTGCAGGCTTGGTGTGAGGAAGTTCAGCCTCTTCTGTCTTCAGCTTGTTTTTGGGACTGGACTTTTCTGAACTAGATCCCTTTGTATTATCCACAGCACCAGTTATTTCCATGACCACGTTAAGCAGCAAAAACACAAAGACTCCTGCTGTCCTCATTGTTCTCTCGTCAGTGTACCAACGGCTAATTGAATTGAGCACAGAGAAAGTTTTGGGGGAATGACAAAGGAAACACCTCCTTCCCTGAGCTGTAAATCAGGCTCTTCTCTTTGCAGGCTCCTCTGAATACGTTGTTTAAATTCCTCAGTGAATTAGCAGATTGGATTTGTGTGTGTTCAAAGTCCTTCCTGTTGGGAATCTAGGTGAGAGGAGTAGCCCTGCTGATCTAAAGCAATCAAAGAGTGTCATGTGGCTTTAATGCAGTTTCAAAGGGCAGCGTTTTCACAATATTTCCCTCCCCGAAACCAGGGTCAACTATCTGCATCGTTTTAACACAGTTGCACTTCAGTCTTTTTAGTTGGTATCAGACACACAATCCACTAATTTACACATTGAACATTCTAATCAAGACACAACTCAAGAAAAATCACAACAGACTTTGTCATTCAGTATGATCTAAATAATGTTTTAAAGACCACAGTCAACAATAAATAAGTGTGGAAATACAGTACATGTTACAAAGGGGAAAAGGTAGGGTTTAGGGAGGTAGCTCAATTTGTAAACAGACACAAATGCAAAGGGGGATGCTTGTGCAAAGAGAGACCTGGTCAAATGGTATATGTGCATATAGAGTTGTGAGGAACCTTGGAGTCATTTTTGACCAGGACATGTCCTTCAACGCACATATTAAACAAATATGTAAGACTGCTTTCTTCCATTTGCGCAACATCTCTAAAATTAGAAATATCCTGTCTCTTGCTACTATTCTGTGCCTCCCTCATACATCCAGAACTAGGGTTGCCAACCGTCCCTTAAAATACGGAATCGTCCCGTATTTAG